AGACAGGTTCATTAATCATATTGAATGGATAATAATTAATATCTCATAGATAAGTTTAATCTTATTAATTTTTGACACTAATTATTTCATATATTAAATTGTGTTAAGAGTATTTAATAGTTAAGTAATGTTTAATAATATTTAAGAGACAGGTTCATTAATCATATTGAATGGATAATAATATCTCATAGATAAGTTTAATCTTATTAATTTTTGACACTAATTATTTCATGTAATTAAATTGTGTTAAGAGTATTTAATAGTTAAATAATGTTTAATAATATTTAAGAGACAGGTTCATTAATCATATTGAATGGATAATAATTAATATCTCATAGATAAGTTTAATCTTATTAATTTTTGACACTAATTATTTCATGTATTAAATTGTGTTAAGAGTATTTAATAGTTAAGTAATGTTTAATAATATTTCAGAGACAGGTTCATTAATCATATTGAATGGATAATAATTAATAATATCTCATAGATAAGTTTGATCTTATTAATTTTTGACAAATTATGAATTAATGATTTCATGTATAATTTGTGTTAAGAGTATTTAATAGATACGTCATGTTTAATAATATTTAACAGAAAGGTTCATTATTCATATTTAACAGATAATGGGCAAATATTATGAATAATATTTAATGGATAAGTTTAGTCTTATTAATTTTTGACAAATCATAAATTAATTGCATGTATTCATTGGTATTAAGGCTATTTAATAGATAAGTAATGTTTAATATTTAAGAGACAAGTTCATTAATCATACTGAATGGATAATATATTAATATTTAATAGATAAGTTTAATCTTATTAATTTTTGACACTAATTATTTCATGTATTATTGTGTTAAGAGTATTTAATAGTTAAGTAATGTTTAATATTTAAGAGACAAGTTCATTAATCATATTTAATGGATAATAGATATTAATATTTAATAGAAAAGTTTAACCTTACTAATTTTTGAGAAATTATAAATTAATGATGTCATGCATTAATTTGTGTTAAGAGTATTTAAGAGATACGTCCTGTTTAATAATATTTAACAGACAGGTTCATTATTCATATTTAAGACATAACGGGTACATATTATGGATAATATTTAATAGATAAGTTTAACCTTATTCATTTTTGACAAACGATAAATTATTTCATGCCATCAACCACCTCAGCTCAAGCCTTTGTGTATGTGAATGGACCGGGCGTTGATGATGTTCAAGCAAAGCTGACTTAAGCTTAGGTTTGCAGACTTCAATTAATCAGTCAATCAGAATAAAGCTGGAAGGGACCTCAGAGGTCATCTAGCCCAACCCCCTGCTCAAGCAGGAGACCCTTGCAGAATCATAGAATTGGAGGGGACCCTGGAGGTCATCTAGCCCAAACCCCTGCTCAAGCAAGAGACCCTTACAGAATCATAGAGTTGGAGGGGACCTTGGAGGTCATCTAGCACAACCCCCTGCTCAAGCAAGAGACCCTTACAGAATCATAGAGTTGGAGGGGACCTTGGAGGTCATCTAGCCCAACCCCCTGCTCAAGCAGGAGACCCTTACAGAATCATAGAGTTGGAAGGGACCTTGGAGGTCATCTAGCCCAACCCCCTGCTCAAGCAGGAGACCCTTGCAGAATCATAGAGTTGGAGGGGACCTTGGAGGTCATCTAGCACAACCCCCTGCTCAAGAAAGAGACCCTTACAGAATCATAGAGTTGGAGGGGACCTTGGAGGTCATCTAGCCCAACCCCCTGCTCAAGCAGGAGACCCTTGCAGAATCATAGAGTTGGAGGGGACCTTGGAGGTCATCTAGCACAACCCCCTGCTCAAGCAAGAGACCCTTACAGAATCATAGAGTTGGAGGGGACCTTGGAGGTCATCTAGCCCAACCCCCTGCTCAAGCAAGAGACCCTTACAGAATCATAGAGTTGGAGGGGACCTTGGAGGTCATCTAGCCCAACCCCCTGCTCAAGCAGGAGGCCCTTACAGAATCATAGAGTTGGAAGGGACCTTGGAGGTCATCTAGCCCAACCCCCTGCTCAAGCAGGAGACCCTTACAGAATCATAGAGTTGGAAGGGACCTTGGAGGTCATCTAGCCCAACCCCCTGCTCAAGCAGGAGACCCTTGCAGAATCATAGAGTTGGAGGGGACCTTGGAGGTCATCTAGCACAACCCCCTGCTCAAGAAAGAGACCCTTACAGAATCATAGAGTTGGAGGGGACCTTGGAGGTCATCTAGCCCAACCCCCTGCTCAAGCAGGAGACCCTTGCAGAATCATAGAGTTGGAGGGGACCTTGGAGGTCATCTAGCCAACCCCCTGCTCAAGCAAGAGACCCTTACAGAATCATAGAGTTGGAGGGGACCTTGGAGGTCATCTAGCCCAACCCCCTGCTCAAGCAAGAGACCCTTACAGGAATCATAGAGTTGGAGGGGACCTTGGAGGTCATCTAGCCCAACCCCCTGCTCAAGCAGGAGGCCCTTACCGAATCATAGAGTTGGAAGGGACCTTGGAGGTCATCTAGCCCAACCCCCTGCTCAAGCAGGAGACCCTTACAGAATCATAGAGTTGGAAGGGACCTTGGAGGTCATCTAGCCCAACCCCCTGCTCAAGCAGGAGACCCTTGCAGAATCATAGAGTTGGAGGGGACCTTGGAGGTCATCTAGCACAACCCCCTGCTCAAGAAAGAGACCCTTACAGAATCATAGAGTTGGAGGGGACCTTGGAGGTCATCTAGCCCAACCCCCTGCTCAAGCAGGAGACCCTTACAGAATCATAGAGTTGGAAGGGACCTTGGAGGTCATCTAGCCCAACCCCCTGCTCAAGCAGGAGACCCTTGCAGAATCATAGAGTTGGAGGGGACCTTGGAGGTCATCTAGCCCAACCCCCTGCTCAAGCAAGAGACCCTTACAGAATCATAGAGTTGGAAGGGACCTTGGAGGTCATCTAGCCCAACCCCCTGCTCAAGCAAGAGACCCTTACAGAATCATAGAGTTGGAGGGGACCTTGGAGGTCATCTAGCCCAACCCCCTGCTCAAGCAGGAGGCCCTTACAGAATCATAGAGTTGGAGGGGACCTTGGAGGTCATCTAGCACAACCCCCTGCTCAAGCAGGAGACCCTTGCAGAATCATAGAGTTGGAGGGGACCTTGGAGGTCATCTAGCACAACCCCATGCTCAAGCAAGAGACCCTTACAGAATCATAGAGTTGGAGGGGACCTTGGAGGTCATCTAGCCCAACCCCCTGCTCAAGCAAGAGACCCTTACAGAATCATAGAGTTGGAGGGGACCTTGGAGGTCATCTGGCCCAACCCCCTGCTCAAGCAGGAGACCCTTACAGAATCACAGAGTTGGAGGGGACCTTGGAGGTCATCTAGCCGAACCCCTTGCTCAAGCAAGAGACCCTTACAGAATCATAGAGTTGGAGGGGACCTTGGAGGTCATCTAGTCCAGCCCCCTGCTCCAGGAGGAGACCCCATGCCATTTCAAACAAGTGGCTGTCCCAATCTCTTCTTCAAAACCTCCAGCCATGACGCACCCACAACGTCTGGAGGCAAGCAGTTCCCCTGGTTAATCCTTCTCCCATGTTAGAGAAGTTTCTGCTTAGTTCCAGGTTGCTTCTCTCCTCGACGAGTTTCCATCCGTTGTTTCTCGTCCGGCCTTTTGTTGCTTTGGAAAACAAGTTGATCCCCCCCCCCTCCTCTTCTTTGTGGCAGCACCCCCCCCCAATACGGGAATATTGCTATTCCGATCACCCCTAAGTCCTTCTTTGCTCTCAAGACTGACCGTTTCCAAATCCTGCCACCCTTCGTCATATGTTTTAATCTCCCGGCCTTGGATCATCCTGGTTGCTCTTCTCTGCGTCTTTTTTGTGTGTTGTGTGTGACGAGGTGACCAAAACTGGACGCCGCGTTCCAGGCCTGGCCTTACTAAGGCTTTACAAAGCGCTACTAAGATTTCTGGTGATTTTGAGTCTAGGCCAGTGGTTCTCCACCTGTGGGTCGGGACCCCACTTGGGGCCGAACGACCATTTCACGGGGGTCGCCAAACAAAGCAGTCCGCCATTTCCCCCCCCTTTTCCTTAGCTGCGCTCCTCCCTTTTATTCTATTGGCTTTTGAAAGCCAATAGAAGAGACTCTCTTGAATAGAGTCTAATTCTATTGGCTTTCCAAAGCCAATAGGAATGGTCCAGGCTGTCTCTGCCCTGCTGAGCCCGCCCAAAGTCCCATTCTGCAAACGGTGCTGCACCAGTTGAGTAGTCCTCGACTTACGACCGGTTGAGTAGTCCTCGACTGACGACCGGGTGGGGGGGGTCGTGGCATTAAAAAGGTTGAGAACCACTGGCTTAAATGAATCCCTGCAGTTGTTAGTAACATGTTTGTTAAGCAAAGCTGGCTTGTCAGCCGGTTGCAAAAGGAGATCGCGTGACCCTGGGATGCGGCAGGAGTCGTAAGCGTGTGCCGCTTGCCGAGTGTCCGACTTTTGATCACATGATGAGGGGGAGGCTGCAACGGTCATAAGTGTGGAGAACCTTTTTCAGTGTCGTAACTTTCAGTGGACACTACCTGTAAAGCGCGCACGTTCAGCTGCACGTAGATCATGTATCGCTTTCGAAAGCCAATAGAATAGACTCTCTTGAATAGAGTCTAATTCTATTGGCTTTCCAAAGCCAATAGGAATGGTCCAGGCTGTCTCTGCCCTGCTGAGCCCGCCAAAAGTCCCATTCTGCAAACGGGGCTGCACCAGTTGAGTAGTCCTAGACTTACAACCGGTTGAATAGTCCTCGACTTACGACCGGTTGGGGGTCGCGGCATTAAAAAGGTTGAGAACCACTGGTCTAGGCCTCTGTTTATAACAATCCGAGACTGGGTTGGCTTTGAGGCCCGCTCCCGTTTCAGGGATTGTCCACGCCGAGGTCTCCTCCATCCTCATCCCCTCCTCGCCCCCCCACCCCCCAAAAATTCGGGGCTACTTGTTTTTCTGCAATGCACATTTTCTCCTTGGAGGGTCTGATGACGGTCACCTTTGAGGACGTGGTCGTATATTTCTCGCCGGACGAGTGGCAGTTGCTAACCGAGGACCAGAAACAGCTCTACTGGGAGGTACTGAAGGAAAACTACGACGCTCTCTTGCGGGTCGGTGAGTAGTCCCAACAGGGCTCGGGGTTTGGGGGGGGCGAGCGGATTGCAAGAGGAACTAGAAGCGGGAGAACTGGGTTCGAGTCCTGCTCAGCCACCGAAGAGGCTTCCTCCCTCTTGGACCAGCCTACCTGCCAGGGTTGTGGTTTGGGGCAAAGAGGAACGGACAGAGGGCTCTTGATACCTCACCCCTCATGAAAAGTGTGTGGGGGGGTGTGTGAAAATGTAACCGGCAAGTAATTTCGACGGGGCCGTTGTTCCTAGGAGGGGTTAATTACAACTCCCATTGTCCCCGGCCTCTCTGCTGTCCCAGCTGATGCGGGATATCGAGAATCAGGTGGGCTGAGGCAGCGTAGGGAGTCTGCAAGGCAGGGGATTGTGGGGGGTTGAAGTCCCAAAGCATGCTGGTTGAGGAATTCTGGGAGTTGAAGTCCAGGCATGCTGGCTGAGGAATTATGGGAATTGAAGTCCAGAGTGGGGGAATTGTGGGAGTTGAAGTCCAGGCGTGCTGGCAAGGAATTCTAGGTATGTTAGTTGAGGAATTCTGGGAGTTGAAGTCCAGGCATGCTGACTGAGGAATTATGGGAATTGAAGTCCAGAGTGGGGGAATTGTAGGAGTTGAAGTCCAGGCGTGCTGGCAAGGAATTCTAGGTATGTTAGTTGAGGAATTCTGGGAGTTGAAGTCCAGGCATGCTGGCAAGGAATTCTGGGAGTTGAAGTCCAGGAATGCTGGTGGGTGAATTCTGGGAGTTGAAGTCCAGGCATGCTGGCTGAGGAATTATGGGAATTGAAGTCCAGAGTGGGGGAATTGTAGGAGTTGAAGTCCAGGCGTGCTGGCAAGGAATTCTAGGTATGTTAGTTGAGGAATTCTGGGAGTTGAAGTCCAGGCATGCTGGCAAGGAATTCTGGGAGTTGAAGTCCAGGAATGCTGTTGGGTGAATTCTGGGAGTTGAAGTCCAGGCATGCTGGCAAGGAATTCTGGGAGTTGAAGTCCAGGAATGCTGGTGGGTGAATTCTGGGAGTTGAAGTCCAGGCATGCTGGCAAGGAATTCTGGGAGTTGAAGTCCAGGAATGCTGGTAGGTGAATTCTGGGAGTTGAAATTTGGGCATGCTGCCTAGGGGATTCTGGGAGTGGATCTCTCTAGGCATGTTAGTTGAGGAATTCTGGGAGTTGAAGTCCAGGCATGCTGGCAAAGAATTCAGGGAGTTGAAATCCAGGAATGCTGTTGGGTGAATTCTGGGATCTGAAGTCCAGAATCCTAGGGGATTCTGGGAGTTGATCTCTCTAGGTATGTTAGTTGAGGAATTATGGGAATTGAAGTCCAGAGTGGGGGAATTCTGGGAGTTGGAGTCCAGGCATGCTGGCCAGGAATTCTGGGAGTTGACGTGCTAGTTGAGGAATTCTGGAAGTTGAAGTCCAGGCATGTCTGTGGGTAAATTTGGGGAGCTGAAATCCAGGCATGCTGGCAGGCCCTGCTGGGAGCTGAAATCCAGGCATGCTGGCAGGCCCTGCTGGGAGCTGAAATCCAGGCAAACTGCCTGCCGAATTCTGGGAGCTGAAATCTCTAGTAGAGGAATTCTGCGAGTTGAAATCCCAAAGGTTGGTGAGGTTGGGGTACCTTGAAACAACACCTCTGATCAGTCCTTTTCCCTTTCCAGGGAGAGGCCCGATCACTCAGGAAGAAGTCTTGGCCTGGGTTCAAAATAACGAACGTCCGAACATCCTCCTATCGCCGAGACCCGTAGAAGATTCCCCTGTTGAGATCCTTTCTAAAGGTGAGTGAAACGCCCAGGAACCGGGCGACGGACAAACGATCCCAGGTCCGTCTTTTGCCTTCTTCTGGAGCCCTGAACTACAATTCCCATCATCTCAGCAGTGGGAGCGTCAGCGTCCTGCATGTACGGAAGACGTCTGAGGTCGAGCCATCCTTAAAACGCCTTGCTGGCAGTCTGTCTGCTTTGGGAAATGCTCTTTTAATTGGGAATTAATAATAATAATAATAATAATAGTAAAGTTGGAAGGGACCTTGGAGGTCATCTAGTCCAACCCCCTGCTCAGGCAGGAAACCCTACACCATTTCGGACAAATGGCTGTCCAGTCTCTTCTTCAAAACTTCCAGTGTTGGAGCATTTACTAATTCCTCCGCCCTTGCGGGAAAATTTAATTTAATTAGGGGGGAGGGTTAATCCCCTCCCCCCCTAATTCCTCCCTCCCTCCCTCCCTTCTCAGCTCCTGATGACCCCTCTGTAATTTTTTTAAGGAACGACATCATTTGCCGTTGCCTTTTTTTTCAGCACGTGTTTGCTTCCTCGTTTTAACCTACGGCACTGTGATCTCCTGGTGGCCACCTCTCCCCGAATCAAACGCCTTTGATTATGCTTTGCTTCTTCTCAAACCAGTCAGGGTGGGCTGTGTTTTTTTTTATTTTTATTTTTACCAGAACTGGACACGTTCCTCTTTTCCTCTGTCACAATTATCAATTTTTTTTTTTTGTCCTCCAGGAGATGAAGTTCGATCCCAAATGGACGCGGAAAGCTTTCCGGAGAAAAATTTCTTCTCTAAAGAAGAGGCGCCCGGCTGTAGCGATGCCGAGGGACATCCTGGCGTTTCGGCAAGCGAACAGGGTGGACCCCTGTGGACAGAATCGACAGAGCGGCCTTCAGCGGACGCGAGCACAGAGGACGTCCCACTGCTGTGCGGCGGGTGGGTCGAGCCCGTTGTGGCACTCGAAACGTCCATTGAGCTGCCATCTTGTCCCCGCAAGAGGACAATCCTGCCCCAGTGCGATTTTGCCGTGCGTTCGGAACACCCCGTCAAGGAAATGCAGTTGGCGCGCATCACTTGTGACGAGAATTGTGTGGACCCCAGGAGTTGGTTTTGTCCTCCAGGAGATGTAGTTCGATCCCACATGGACGCGGAAAGCTTTCCGGTGGTTGCGGGCCCTCTTGAGAGCATCTTTACTTTCTCTAAAGAAGTGCCCCCCTGCTGTAGCGATGTCAAGGGACGACATCCTGAACAGTCTTGCGTTTCGGCAAGCGAACAGGGTGGACCCCTGTGGACAGAATCGGCAGAGCGGCCTTCAGCGGACGCGAGCACAGAGGACGTCCCACTGCTGTGCGGTGGGTGCGTCGAACCCGTTGTGGTGCCCGAAAAGTCCACCGAGCTGCCGTCTTCTCCCCGCAGGACGACAAACCTGCCCCAGCGCGTTTTTGGCGTGCGTGCGGAACACCTCGTCAAGGAAATGCAGTTGGCGCGCATCACTTGTGACGAGAATTGCGTGGACCCCAGGAGTTGGTTTTGTCCTCCAGGAGATGAAGATCGATCCCAAATGGACGCGGAAAACTTTCCGGAGAAAGCGGGCCCTCTTGAGAGCATCTTTACTTTCTCTAAAGAAGTGCCCCCCTGCTGTAGCGATGTCAAGGGACGACATCCTGAACAGTCTTGCATTTCGGCAAGCGAACAGGGTGGATCCCTGTGGACAGAATCGACAGAGCGGCCTTCAGCGGACGCGAGCACAGAGGACGTCCCACTGCCGTGCGGCGGGTGCGTCGAACCCGTTGTGGCGCCCGAAAAGTCCACCGAGCTGCCGTCTTCTGCCCACAAGATGACAAACCTGCCCCGGCGTGATTTTGGCGTGCGTGCGGAACACCCCGTCAAGGAAATGCAGTTGGCGCGCACCACTTGTGACGAGAATTGTGCGGACTCCCGCCGGCGGAGCGCAGGGAAGATGCAGGATACTCTGTCGTCTTCCCCGGAAGCCCCCAGCGAGGAGGAGAAGCTCTATTCTTGTCCTTGGTGCAAAGAACCCTTCAAACTGCGGATGAATTTGGAAGTGCATTATAGGTACTGTCGCCAGAGGGGAAAACAGCAGCCCCAGAAGACTCCCGGTGGGCAGGAGGCAAGCAAGTCGAGCCGCATCGGGAAGTCGACGGGTTCGGTCCGTCTCTCGGAAAAACCGGTCCGCTGCTCGTCTTCCGTGGAAGGCAAGGAGGTCTTCCTGAATTCCAGACAGAGAGTGGGGAAAAGCAACGGGGTTTCTGACGCCGGCAGGGGTAGCGCCGAGAGTCCGCACAGCTTGAGGATGACCTCCGCCACAAAGAGGATGTACCGGTGTCCGGAATGCGGGGAACAATTTGGGTACAAGTGGCAGCTCTCGACTCATTGGCAAGGTTGTGGGAAAGTTGCGGAGAACCAAAAAGGCCTGCTCCCAAAGCCGCGGGACCTTGCCGCAAAGAAGCTCCCCGACAGCGCCAAAGGACGACAGGCGTGCGTCGCGGCGGTCGGGCGTCGGAGAAGTAAAGACACGACGTTGTATCCCTGCGGCGAGTGCGGCAAGAGCTTAAGCAAGTGCTACCTATCCACGCACCTGGCGTTCCACGCGGGGCAAAGGTACAAGTGCCTCTTGTGCGGGATGGTCTTCAACTTCCGGAGCGGGGCAGTCAGGCACAAAAGGCAGCACTCCGAGAAAAAGGAAGGTGGCACCTGTCCGAAGTGCGGGAGGCGCGCCGGCGCCAAAGATTGTTTCTGCCTGATCCAAAGAATCCGCGTCGCTCCCGACTCGGAGGGCGAGGAACGCGCCGGGTTGGGGAAGCCCAAGTAGCCGTTTGCGAAAGACGGGAATTCGGTCCTTTCTCGCAAGTTGTTTCTACGCGGGATTGGAAAGCGGGCGTCACGAGCGAGCAATATCGGCGGTGCGTTCAAGCGATGCGGCAACTGGTTTTCGAAGCCAACGCTGGCCTGAGGGGGCTTTGGCGCTTGGCTCGGCTGGCTGCACACCAAGAGGACCACGTATAAGATGCCCGTTCCAGATGTTGCGAAAAATGCCTGTTTCGACGCACCGGGAACTACATGTGAATTGTGTAGACAGCCATGTGGCAACTGGTTTTCGAAGCCAATGCTGGCCTGAGGGGGCTTTGGCGCTTGGCTCGGCTGGCTGCACACCAAGAGGACCATGTATAAGATGCCCGTTCCAGATGTTGCGAAAAATGCCTGTTTCGACGCACCGGGAACTACATGTGAATTGTGTAGACAGCCATGTGGCAACTGGTTTTCGAAGCCAATGCTGGCCTGAGGGGGCTTTGGCGCTTGGCTCGGCTGGCTGCACACCAAGAGGACCAGGTATAAGATGCCCGTTCCAGATGTTGCGAAAAATGCCTGTTTCGACGCACCGGGAACTACATGTGAATTGTGTAGACAAGGAAGACACTCCTATTTTGTGTAGGGTAAATGGGGCTGTCTTTTATTTGTCTCTCACTCGCACTCCAGACCCCAGGCAGCTTGATCTGTGATGCCCGTGCGCACCGGCTTGAGGATGGATAACGCCTCTAATGTCACCAGCAATTTTACTTCGTGCCTTAGCTGGATTTTTTTAAAAAATTGTGCGAGAAATCGGGTCAGGACCCAACGCACGATGATGGACAGATCTGTTGCATGAGTGTTCTCAGATAGCGTTCCTCCACCTGGGCAGCTGGACGATCGGTGGACTTCAACTCCCAGAATTCCCCCAGCCAGCTATGAATTCTGGGAGTTGTAGTTTTACCCGTCTTCCAGCTACCCGGGTTGACAAACGTTGCTGTACGAAAACCAAAACGGGAGACGGCTGTCTTAGGAGGACCAGGGATGGATGGGACTTGAGTCCTGTCCTCATGGACATCTTGACTTTTTTGACCTCACCCCACCCGAATCCTCTTCCTGTCCCCTCCCCAAAGTGTAATTTAAGGTCCTCGCCATTTTGTGGCTAACTTTGACCCAGTCCTGTACCACAATTGGTGAAAACATTGTGAAAAATGAATATATATATTTATATATATTTTAAACCAAGTAATGTTCTTTATCTTGGCTGAATTGCAAGCTAAGACAGGAATGTTTTGTCATGCTTGTGGATGAATTTGAAATATCAATTAATTGTCAATAAAAGCAGTGACGGGGGTCCTTTCTGCGTGCTAATGTTAATACCACTTTACAAGGCCTTGGAAAGGCCACACTTGGAATATCTGTTTTGGTCACCACAGTGTAAAAAAGATGTTGAGACTCTAGAACAGTGGTTCTCCACCTGTGGGTCGCGACCCCATTTGAGGTCGAACGACCATTTCACGGGGGTCGCCAAACAACGCAGTCTGCCATTTTTCCCCCCTTTTCCTTAGCTGTGCTACTCCCTTTTATTCTATTGGCTTTTGAAAGCCAATAGAATAGATTCTCTTGAATAGAGTCTAATTCTATTGGCTTTCCAAAGCCAATAGGAATTGTCCAGGCTGTCTCTGACCTGCTGAGCCCGCCAAAAGTCCCACTCTGCAAACGGTGCTGCACCAGTTGAGTAGTCCTCGACTTACGCCCGGTTGAGTAGTCCTCGACTTACGACCGGTTGGGGGTCGCGGCATTAAAAAGGTTGAGAACCACTGCTCTAGAAAGTACAGAGAAGAGCAACAAAGATGATTAGGGGACTGGAGGCTAAAGCATATAAGGAACGGTTGCTGGAATTGGGTATGTCTAGTTTAACGAAGAGAAGGACGAGGGGGGACAGGATAGCAGTGTCCCAATATCTCAGGGGCTGCCCCAAAGAAGAGGAAGTCAAGCTATTCTCCAAAGCGCCTGAAGGCAGGACAAGAAGCAACGGGTGGAAACTCATCAAGGAGAGAAGCAACCTAGAACTAAGGAGAAACTTCCTGACGGTTAGAACAATTAACTAGGGGAACAGCTTGCCACCAGATATTGTGAATGCTCCAACACTGGAAGTTTTTAAGAAGAGACTGGACAGCCAATTGTTTTTAATGATATAGGGTTTCCTGCCTGAGCAGGGGGTTGGACTAGATGACCTCCAAGGTCCCTTTCAACATTATTGTGATGATGCTGATGCTGATGACGATGGAGAGAAGCAACCTAGAACTAAGGAGAAATTTCCTTATTATTAATGTAATTAATAAATCATATAATGATGATGATGATGGAGAGAAGCAACCTAGAACTAAGCAGAAATTTCCTGAGAGTGAGAACAATTAACCAGTGGAACAGCTTGCCACCAGAAGCTGTGGGTGCTCCATCACTGGAGGTGTTTAAGAAGAGATTAGACAGCCACTTGTCTGAAATGGTATAAGCGTTTCTCAACGTTTGTGTGACGGCGACCCCCGTCACACCAACGTGCCGTGCATGCACGGTGCGCATGCACGGGGCGGCCCCCACGCGCGACGTGGCCCCCACGCGCGGCGCGCATGCGCGGCGCCACCCCGAGGGGGGAAAATGGCGGATCGCATTGTTTGGCGACCTCCGTAAAATGGTCGATCGACCCCAAATGGGGTCGCGACCCATAGGTTGAGAACCGCTGGTATAGAGTTTCTTGCCTGAGCAGGGGGTTGGACTAGATGACCTCGAAGATCTTTTCCAACATTATTGTTATGATGATGATGATGGAGAGAAGCAATCTAGAACTAAGGAGAAATTTCCTTATTATGAATATAATTAATAAATCATATAATAATGATAAAAATAATAAAAATGATGATGATGATGACGATGATGGAGAGGAGCAACCTAGAACTAAGGAGAAATTTCCTTATTATTAATATAATTAATAAATCATATATTAATAATGATAAAAATAATAAAAATGATGATGACGATGATGGAGAGAAGCAACCTAGAACTAAGGAGAAATTTCCTGAGAGTGAGAACAATTAACCAGTGGAACAGCTTGCCACCAGAAGCTGTGGGTGCTCCATCACTGGAGGTTTTTAAGAAGAGATTGGACAGCCACTTGTCTGAAATGGTAGAGGGTCTCCTTCTTGAACAGGGGGCTGGACTAGATGACCTCCAAGGTCCCATCCAACTGTTCTTCTCTGATTCTGTAAGGTTCTTCTCCTTGAGCAAGGGGTTGGACTAGATGACCTCCAAGGTCCCGTCCAACTCTGTCCTTCTCTGATTCTGTAAGGGTCTTCTGCTCGAGCAGGGGGTTGGACTAGATGACCTCCAAGGTCCCTTCCAACTCTTATGATTCTGTAAGGGTCTCCTGCTTGAGCAGGGGGTTGGGCTAGATGACCTCCAAGGTCCCTTCCAACTTTATTATTAGCCCTATTAGCACAGGAAGCGGTCACCTTACGACCCCAAATGAGCCCAAACTTTTCATCCCAAAGCCAGACGGTTGAGTTTTGCCCCATTTCGTGAGCTCCCTTGCCCCCGTCCGTCGTTCAGCGAATCCTTGCGGTCGTCAAATTTGTAACACGGCCCTGGCTTGCCCATCGTTTTGCTGGTCAGAAGGTCACCAAAGAGGATCGTGGAACCCTGGGTCACGCCCGCCATCGTAAATATGAAGCAGTTTGCCAGGCATCCGAATTTGGATCACCTTATTATGGGAATGCTGCATTGGTCGTTAAGTGGGAGAAAGAGTCCAAAGTTGGTTTTTCCTCTGCTGTTGTAATTTCAATTGGTCACTAAACGAGTAGTTGTATATCGAGGAAAACCTGCATTTGCTGGCCCTGTGACTTTCCTTCCAGTAATTTATTTTTCAACCATAAGTGATAGGAATCCCCTGGAGTCCTTGAGGCCATCTAGTCTGGGGGTCTTCAAACTTGACCCTTTTTTTGACTGGTGGACTTCAACTCCCAGAATTCCTCAGCCAGCATGCCTGGTCTGGATCCAAGTCCACAGCTTCATCAAAATGGCCGACTGAGGAATTCTGGGAGTTGAAGTCCCACAAGTCATAAAAGGGCCAAGTGTGAAGACCCCTGAGAGCCTGGATCCAAGGCTGCAGGTTCATCAAAATGGCCGACTGAGGAATCCTGGGAGTTGAAGTCCACCAGTCATAAAAGGGCCAAGTTGGAAGACCCCTGAGAGCCTGGATCCAAGCCCGCAGTTTCATCAAAATGGCCGACTGAGGGATTCTGGGAGTTGAAGTCCACCAGTCATAAAAGGGACAAGTTGGAAGACCCCTGAGAGTCTGGATCCAAGGCTGCAGGTTCATCAAAATGGCCGTCTGAAGAATCCTGGGAGTTGAAGTCCACCAGTCATAAAAGGGCCAAGTTGGAAGACCCCTGAGAGTCTGGACAGAACAATTAACCAGTGGAACAACCTGCCTCCAGAAGCAGTGAATGTTCCATCATTGGAAGTTTTCAAGAAGAGACTGGACAGCCATTTGTCTGAAATGGTATAGGGTTTCCTGCCTAAGCAGGGGGTTGACTAGATGACCTCCAAGGTCCCTTCCAACTTTACTATTATTATTATAAAAGGGCCAAGTTTGAAGACCCCTGAGAGTCTGGATCCAAGCCTGCATTTTCATCAAAATGGCCAACTGAGGAATATTGGGAGTTGAAGTCTCACAAGTCATAAAAAGGGCCAAATTGGAAGACCCTTGGTCTGGATCCAAGCCGGCAGTTTCATCAAAATGGCCGACTGAGGAATCCTGGGAGTTGGAAGTCCACCAGTCATAAAAGGGCCAAGTTGGAAGACCCCTGAGAGTCTGGATCCAAGTCCGCAGGTTCATCAAAATGGCCGTCTGAGGAATTCTGGGAGTTGAAGTCCACCAGTCATAAAAGGGACAAGTTGGAAGACCCCTGAGAGTCTGGATCCAAGTCCGCAGGTTCATCAAAATGGCCGACTGAGGAATTCTGGGAGTTGAAGTCCACCAGTCATAAAAGGGACAAGTTGGAAGACCCCTGAGAGTCTGGATCCAAGGCTGCAGTTTCATCAAAATGGCCGACTGATGAATCCTGGGAGTTGAAGTCCACCAGTCAGAAAAGGGCCAAGTTTGAAGACCCCTGAGAGTCTGGATCCAAGTCTGCAGGTTCATCAAAATGGCTGTCTGAAGAATCCTGGGAGTTGAAGTCCACCAGTCATAAAAGGGCCAAGTTGGAAGACCCCTGAGAGTCTGGACACAACAATTAACCAGTGGAACAACCTGCCTCCAGAAGCAGTGAATGTTCCATCATTGGAAGTTTTCAAGAAGAGACTGGACAGCCATTTGTCTGAAATGGTATAGGGTTTCCTGCCTAAGCAGGGGGTTGACTAGATGACCTCCAAGGTCCCTTCCAACTTTACTATTATTATTATAAAAGGGCCAAGTTTGAAGACCCCTGAGAGCCTGGATCCAAGCCCGCAGTTTCATCAAAATGGCCGACTGAGGGATTCTGGGAGTTGAAGTCCACCAGTCATAAAAGGGCCAAGATGGAAGACCCTTGAGAGTCTGGATCCAAGTCTGCAGGTTCATCAAAATGGCCGTCTGAGGAATCCTGGGAGTTGGAAGTCCATCATTCATAAAAGGGCCAAGTTGGAAGACCCCTGAGAGTCTGGACAGAACAATTAACCAGTGGAACAACCTGCCTCCAGAAGCAGTGAATGTTCCATCATTGGAAGTTTTCAAGAAGAGACTGGACAGCCATTTGTCCGAAATGGTATAGGGTTTCCTGCCTAAGCAGGGGGTTGGACTAGATGACCTCCAAGGTCCCTTCCAACTTTACTATTATTATTATTATAAAAGGGCCAAGTTTGAAGACCCCTGAGAGTCTAGATCCAAGCCTGCGGTTTCATCAAAATGGCTGACTGAGGAATTCTGGGAGTTGAAGTCCTCCAGTCATAAAAGGGCCAAGTTGGAAGATCTCTGATCTAGTCTGACTTCCAGTGGAGAAAGCAAGCTTTCTTTGTGAAATGACAGGCTGTGTTAAGAACTAGCATTCGTTACTTGATGGATAACTCGTAGAAACAACATTCATGCTTTTCATTCCGGGCACAGACAGTCCTCGACTTATGACAATTCGTTTAGCGACTGTTCAAAGTTACAATGGCACTGACAGAAGTGACTTAGGACGGGTGCCCACAGTTACATCCCCATGATCCCAGGATCAAAATTGGCTACTAAGTGGTCCGTGTTTGATTTTTATGACCTTTTTTGCCACAGCGGTTAAGTGAATCGCTGTGGTCGTTCAATGAATCACATGTCGTTAAGCAAATCCGGGTTTCCACCATTGACTTTGCTCGCCCAAAACCTGCTAGGAAGGTCACAAAATGGTGACTGCGGGACCCTAGGAAACTGCCACCTTTGTAAGCACACACTGGATGCACGCCTCCGAATTCTGATCATGCGACTGTACGGGTGCGGCAACCGTCCTAAGTGTGAGGACTAGTCACAGGTTTTTCAGCGAAAAAAATCACCAAACGAGTAGTCGTAAGAAGAGGACTCCTTGTAGTGCACTAGTAGTACAATTCCACGCTGGCTTGTCAAAGCTCTCCCATTTTGATCCCGGGACCATGTGTGGATGGTATAACTGTCGTAGGTCTGAGGACCCTTTGTAAGTCAATTTTTTTGCAGCGGAGGAAAAAAAAGCTCACTAAACGAAGCGTTATAAGTGGAGGACTGTCTGCAGTGCCAGGTGTTTCAAGGCTTAAGAAGGGTCCCCAACCTGTGGGATGTGGCCCACTAGTGGACCATGCAGGAATTGCAGCCAGACTGCGGAAACAGCTGAGTGCGCATGCATCTGCATCCTTGCGTGAACAGCAGGCGAGCACATGCGTGCACGTTTCGTTTTCATGAGGGAAGGCATGCACGCATGCCGGCGCCCTTGCCGGCTGCTCACGTGGAACCATCTCCCCTTCCCCACCGCCGGTCTGCAAAGCCGGAAACCTTAAACGCTGTGGACTTCAACTCCCAGAATTCCCCTTTGAGCGTGGAAGAGACACACAAGATTTTCTTGTCCAAGAAAGCGAGCGAGGCTCATAAACCAAACTGCACACAGGAAGGTTTTGTTGATGCTTTTCTTTTCGTTAAAAAAAAGAAAACAAGTTTGTGGAGATATATAATATATATGTAGGTCTTTGGTTATTCGGGTTTTCTCTTGCGTCAAATTGGAAGTGTCTTGGCGACGTTTCGACGAAGTCTCATTCGTCATCTTCAGGCTGGTGTTTTCAGCTTTGTGCTTCAAGAAGCACGAAGCCAAAAACACCAGCCTGAAGGTGACGAATGAGACTTCGTCGAAACGTCACGAAGACACTTCCAATTTGATGTGGGAGAAAACCCAAATAACTAAAGACCTACATACAAACACAAGCGAAAACCTCAGAAAACAAATATTATATTTATATATATATGCATATTAGTTCATAAAACAAATGTCGAGAAACTAAAAACAGCCATTACAAATTGATCCTTGCCGTCGAGACCACAGAACAGCAGATCTATTTAGATTGACACCTTTCGCACTGACACGCCTGTACATGCGTGCCCACCTGTGCCCCCTTTCCCCGTTTTGTTTAACCGGGATGTTCTAGCTTTGTTCTTAACCATCACATCAGCGGACTCCCGGAGGGCAAAGGTCCATCACACGCTTTGCATTTTATCAGATGTGCAAAATATATCCCACTGTGGCCATCTTTGAAATTGGCGGTAGTTTTGGGACATAACTGAACCGACTCCTGTTTTTGCTTTTATATAGTCCTCGACTTACGACCACAATTGTGTCCAAATATTCCACAACTAAGCAAGAGTGTTAAGGGAGCATTGCTTAAATCAGTGGTTCGCAACCTGTGGGTCGCGACCCCATTTGGGGTCGAACGACCATTTCACGGGGGTCGCCAAACAACGCAGTCCGTCATTTTTTTCCCCCTTTTCCTTAGCTGTGCTACTCCCTTTTATTCTATTGGCTTTTGAAAGCCAATAGAATAGACTCTCTTGAATAGAGTCTAGTTCTATTGGCTTTCCAAAGCCAATAGGAATTGTCCAGGCTGTCTCTGCCCTGCTGAGCCCGCCAAAAGTCCCATTCTGGAAACGGTGCTGCACCAGTTGAGTAGTCCTCGACTTACGACCGGTTGAGTAGTCCTCGACTGACGACCAGTTGGGGGGGGTCGTGGCATTAAAAAGGTTGAGAACCACTGGCTTAAATGAATCCCTGCAGTTGTTAGTAACATGTTTGTTAAGCAAAGCTGGCTTGTCAGCCGGTTGCAAAAGGAGATCGCGTGACCCTGGGATGCGGCAGTAGTCGTAAGTGTGTGCCGCTTGCCGAGTGTCTGACTTTTGATCACATGATGAGGGGGAGGCTGCCACGATCATAAGTGTGGAGAACCTTTTTCAGTGTCGTAACTTTCAGTGGACACTACCTGTAAAGCGCGCACGTTTAGCTGCACGCAGATCATGTATCAATCGCCGCATGTACCACCAATTCATCCCACGTTATCGAGAAAGCTCAAGCCATTCGCACTGCGTGTTCTGAGGCACCGCAACATACTTTTGTTAAAAGTCTCGTACGAGGAAACAGACCGCGATGCTTTTCGCGCCCGTTGGATACCCGGGCCGTTCAAGGCACGCGGCTCGTCTTTGGCTCCTTGCACACGATACGTCGATCAGTCCTGGGCTTTGCAAGTGTGCGCCTGCCTTCCATGTCGCTCACAAAACCCTTTTGTGACGAGACGTCGACCCTCGGGGACGCCCCCTGCCCCGCCGCCGGATACCCTGAGGACTTCGGAACCCAACGCCCCTCTCTCCCTGTCCACCATTCTGTAAAGATTGTCCCGTGAGCTTTTCGGTTTTCCCGGGATAGAGCAGTGGGGCGTGTTCTGACGACGTCTCGGGAGGGGAAGTCTCCGGTTTCAGACGCAGAGACGGTGAGGCGAACTCCACGCCGGTTTGTGAAGCTCGCTCCTGTCGGGGACTTGCCCGTTCCTGCCTCAAAGACCGCAGCTCGTCGCGGATCTCGGTGAGGACAGATAACAGCCGCAGCTGGAGGTCCCTGTCTCGCGCCCGTTCCTCCCGTTGCTGCGCTCGTTCCTCTTGCCACGTGGCTAACTCGTGGTGGTAGAGCTGATCCCACTGGTTTTCCATCTCCATTAAGCGATGGAGGGTGGTCCTCCAAGGTGGGCGGGAGCCCCCGATTCCCCGCCGCAAGGAGCGCGAAGGGGACGCCTGGTCTGCGCGGGGCGATGCAGGAGGCAGGGACTCTTCGGTTAGTGGAGATCTGGACGACGGCCGATCCTCGTCGTGTGGCTGTTTCTCCCATGCCGGATCCATCGATCCCCATGGGAAGGCACCGAGATCCGCGTTGGGGGGCTCCGATTCTTCTTCCTCCCCGGTCTGGGGTCCCAGGACAGGAAGGTCAGCACTCCCGTCGCGACCCCACTCCGAGTGACTGTCCGCCTGGCTAAGGGTGTCCTCCGGCACGGACACCAGCGATCCCTGCGAAGTGTAGCGACGGAGGAACATGGCTTGCTGACGGGAGAATTTCAGGTCTTGCTCGGCCGAGAGGGAGAGATCGAGATCCTCGTCCACATCCGGGTCTTCCTCGTTCTCCTCTTCGCAAATGTAGGAAAACCGGGAGTCCTTTCTCAGCGGGGGAGAGACGGTCGGCGTTTCTGGAATCTGGAGCTCTGCACCCGAGTCAGCTGGGGGAGAGAAGGAAACAAGGTTTACCTGTGGCTCTCATCCCAGGACACCGTGAATTCTAGTCCCGCCTTAGGCATCAAAGCTGGCTGCATGACTTTGGGCCAATCACCAGGAGACAGTGAGTTCTAGTCCTGCCTTAGGCGTGCAAGTTGGCTGGGTGACTTTGGGCCAGTCACCAGGAGACGGTGAGTTCTAGTCTAGGCAGAAAAGCTGGCTGGGTGACTCTAGGCCAATCACCAGGAGAGTGTTCTAGTCCTACCTTAGGCGTGAAAGTTGGCTGGGTAACCTGGGGCCGAATACCAGGAGACGGTGAGTTCTAGTCCTACCTTAGGCACTAAAGCCAGCTAGCTGCCTTTGGGCCAATCACGAGGAGGTAGTGCGTTTAGGTATAAACACCAGCTGGGTGACTCTAGGCCAGGGGTAGGCCACCTTGGCTCATGGACTTCAACTCCCAGAATTCCTGAGCCAGCCATGCTGAGGGGAAAGGGAGAGGTTTCCAAGCTGAGCCATGCTGGCTCAGGAATTCTGGGAGTTGAAGTCCACGAGCCTAGGCCTAGGCCAGAGGTAGGCAACCTTGGCTCTTTTATGACTCGTGGACTTCAACTCCCAGAATTCCTGAGCTAGCCATGCTGAGGGGAAAGGGAGAGGTTTCCAAGCTGAGCCAGGCTGGCTCAGGAATTCTGGGAGTTGAAGTCCATGAGATAGGCCAGAGGTAGGCCACCTTGTCTCTTTTATGACTTGTGGACTTCAACTCCCAGAATTCCTGAGCCATCCATGCTGAGGGGAAAGGGAGAGGTTTCCATGCTGAGCCAGGCTGGCACAGGAATTCTGGGAGTTGAAGTCCATGAGACATAAAGCGGCCTAGGCCAGAGGTAGGCCACCTTGGCTCTTTTATGACTGGTGGACTTCAACTCCCAGAATTCCTGAGCCAGCCATGCTGAGCCAGGCTGGCTCAGGAATTCTGGGAGTTGAAGTCCATGAGTCATAAAAGAGCCAAGGTGGCCTATCCCTGCTCTAGGCCCATCACTAGGAGCTAATGAGTTCTAGTACTGCCTTAGGCATGAAAGCCGGCAAGGCAACTTTGGGCCTATCACTAGGAGCTAATGAGTTCTAGTACTGCCTTAGGCATGAAAGCCGGCAAGGCAACTTTGGGCCTATCACTAGGAGCTAGTGAGTTCTAGTACTGCCTTAGGCATGAAAGCTGGCTGGGTGACTTTGAGCCAATCACTAGGAGACGGTGAGTTCTAGTTTCGCTTTAGGCATGAAAGCTGGCTGGGTGACTCTAGGCCAGTCACCAGGAAATGGTGAATTCTAGTCCTCTCTTCCCTGTAAAAGCCAGCTGGGCGACTTTGGGCCAATCACTAGGAGCTAGTGAGTTCTAGTATTGCCTTAGGCATGAAAGCTGGCAGGGTGACTTTGAGCCAATCACTAGGAGACGGTGAGTTCTAGTCTCACTTTAGGCATAAAAGTTGGCTGGGTGACTCTAGGCCAGTCACCCAGAAATGGTGAATTCTAGTCCCCAGGAGACGGTGAGTTCTAGTTCTGTCAGGCCTGAAAGCCAACTGGGCGAATTTGAGCTAGTCCTCACCGTTTATGAAGTTAGAACAGCACTGAAAAAAGTGACGTAGGAGCACGTCTCACTCTTCACGACCTTTGAGCAAAATTCGGATGCTTGGCCACTGACCCGTATTTATGACGGTGGCAGCGTCCCCGGGGGGGGGTGGATTACGCGATCCCCTTTTGTGACCCAGTAGAGAAGCTAGATTCATTTAACGACCACGAGGTGAAAGGGTGTAAAATCCACCTGTCTCACTTAGCAACACTGAAACTGTGGTTGTAAATTGAGGCCTACCTGTCAGCCAAGAAATGAATGAAACCTCCCTTCTTTGGTTCTCTCGCTCCGAACGGTCGCTAAACAGACCGTTGTAAGCCGAGGACTAGCTGTCTGTCCCTTGTCATCGCTTTAATGGATGCCGCTGGGTCAAAGACAGCAGATAGATGGCAGTCAAGAGACAGAGGCTTGATCCAAGCACACAGCTTGCGCTAACCTGGGGGCTGGATTAGAACAGGGATCCCCCAACCTGTGGGCCACGGCCCGGTAGTGGACCATGGGTTGCTGGCCACCGGGATGTAGGACAGGCTGGTCAGTGCGCGCACACCCACCCACTTGCGCTAGCACTGCAACTGCGATGCACGAAAGCGCAAAAATGGGCCACTGCCACATCTTGGAGTGAAAAAATGGGACGCCACCGCACTGGAAAAAAATGGGACGCTGCTGTACTGCACAACAATGGGACACTGCTGCACTGCGCAACAATGGGCCGCTGCCACTGCGTAAAAATGGGATGCCACCCCACAGCACAAAAATGGGTCGCCACCGCACTGCGCAAAAGTGGGACGCCACCGCACTGTGCAAAAGCGGGTCGCCACCACACTGCGCAAAAACGGGTCACTGCCACGCCACGGGGCACAAAAACCAGACCCCGCGGGGCGCCAAAACGGGATGCTGCCTCAACACGGGGCACAAAAACTGGACACCGCCATGCAGTGGGGTACAAAAACAGGCCAATGTAGCACCGCACAAAAACGGGGCCAACACCGCACCTCAGGGCACAACAATGGGATGCTGCCGCGCCTCGTTGCGCGAAAACCGGCCGACGGTACGCAGAAACGGCGCTGTGCACAAGAACAGGGCAAGGCTAGCGAGGATCATGCAACCACTAGCCCAGTGGTTCTCAACCTTTTTAATGCCTGACCCCCCAACCGGTCGTTAAGTCGAGGACTACTCGACCGGTCGTAAGTCGAGGACTACTCAACCGGTGCAGCACCGTTTGCAGAATGGGACTTTTGGCGGGCTCAGCAGGGCAGAGACAGCCTGGACAATTCCTATTGGCTTTTGAAAGCCAATAGAATTAGACTCTATTCAAGAGAGTCTATTCTATTGGCTTTCAAGAGCCAATAGAATAAAAGGGAGGAGCACAGCTAAGGAAAAGGGGAAAAGAATGGCGGACTGCGTTGTTTGGTGACCCCCGTGAAATGGTCGTTCGACCCCAAATGGGGTCCCGACCCACAGGTTGAGAACTGCTGCACTAGCCCCACCCCGTTTGTGCGTGCGCCTGCGTGCAGGCGTCAAATGCTTCCCCCTCCCTTTCCCGCCGGCCCGCCAACCAAGAAAGGTTGGCGACCTCTAGACTAGAGGACCTCTGAGGTCCCCTTCAAACACTACGATCCTAGAACAGTGGCCTGGCTTCGCTGGTGGACGGTCTAGGCAGCGTCTCGTGGCCTTGGAGGACCTACCGGAGCTGTTCTGCCCTTCGCCTTTGCTGCAGTCTCCAGTTAGCGACAAGTTTGGACTCCGGACACTCAGGCGGGGCTGGACGGACCCTTCCAGTTCGGGCAGAGTGGACGACTGTCCGTCAGTGTTAATGTAAAGACTGGATTGGCTGGTTGCCGAGTGTATAGGCCCAAACATCTTTTGGGAGGCTCCCGGGAAGAAAAACTCTGGAAAACAAGAGGACCCCCTGTTTGTGATTTTGGGGGTATCCGCCATCGAACAGAACATAGCAGAATCACAGAGCTGGCAGGGACCTCGGAGGTCATCTAGTCCAGCCCCCTGCTCAAGCTGGAGATCGTATACCATTTCTGACAAGTGGCTGTCCAGTCTCGTCTTCTGCCCCTCCCCATCATCAGATGTGCTTTAAGAGGGGTGAATTTCAACTCCCAGAATTCTCCAGCCGGCATGGTTTAAGAGGGGTGGACTTCAACTCCCAGAATCCCCTAGCCAGCCATGCTTTAAGAGGGGAGGACCTCCACTCCCAGAATCCCTCTGCCACGATGCTTTAAGAGGGGAGGACTTCAACTCCCAGAATCCCCTAGCCAGCCTGCTTTAAGAGGGGTGGCCTAAAGTTCCCAGAATACCCCAACTGGCATGCTTTACGAGGGATGGCCTTCAGTTCCCAGAATCCCTCAGCCAGGATGCTTTAAGAGGGGAGGACTTCCACTCCCAGAATCCCCCAGCTGACATGCTTTAAGATGGATGGATTTCAGCTCCCAGAATCCTTTAGCCAGCATGCTTTAAGAGGGGAGGACCTCCACTCCCAGAATCCCCCAGCCAGCATGCTTTAAGAGGGGTGGCCTTCAGTTCCCAGAATCCCTCTGCCAGGATGCTTTAAGAGGGGAGGACTTCCACTCCCAGAATCCCCCAGCTGACATGCTTTAAAATGGATGGATTTCAACTCCCAGAATCCTCTAGCCAGCACGCTTTAAGAGGGGAGGACCTCCACTCCCAGAATCTCCCAGCCGGCATGCTTTATGAGGGGAGGACTTCAACTCCCAGAATTCCCCAGTGAGCCCCTCCCCTTTCTTAAGATCACTCGACCCCACTTTTAGCTCCCTCCGTCCAAAACTTCCCCGGCTCACCTGGGTCCAGGACGATCTCCGGTTCCGACTCATGGCTAGGCTGAAGGAACGTGGAAGCCACCATCTTCTCCAGCGGCGTCAATCGTGGTTTGTAAGGCTTTCCGGCCCGGGAAGCCGTGATCTTCTTCTTGACGTCCAGCCGCAGATCCCGCCATTTGTGCTTCAGATCGTCCACCGAACGCTCGGTGTAGCCGAGGAAGTTGACCCGGGTCTGGATCTGCGTCCACAGCTGCCTGCGCCGTACGGGCTGCGCCCGGAAGGATTCGGCGCCGTACAAGGCACCGAAATGCCGGACCACGTTCCAGACCAGGGTTTCCGTCTCATCGTTGGAGAAGTTGGCTTTGCGCTTGCGTCCGGAGACGACGGGCACCGGGGTCGCGGACGAGGCAGGATCAAAGTGGACGCTCCATCGCTCGTTCGCCGCGGGCGAGGAAAACATGGGAATCCCGGGGCCGAAACAGGATGCAGGAAGCCGGCGAAAAAGCCCCCGCGAAAACCTGCGAACGACTACGGTTGCGGTCCGAAGTTGCGTCGTCTCGTCATGCTGGTCGAAAAGATCAAGAAAAACGGGGAGGACAAAAAAAAAAAGAGACATCGATCACCAACGTTCCAAAACTTTTGTGCGCCGGGAAGTCCTCGACGACGCTTGTGGAACGGTCGCTAAATGAACGGATGTAAGTCGAGGACGACCCGTACACCAGCTGTACAGACACCTCGTGGAACGGTCACTAAATGAACTGGGGTAATTTGAATGGGTACCCGTTATACTACCTGTATAAAAGCAAAGTCCCTGCGGAAGCCGGGTGCCCTTAACCGGGTTACTACCTCCACATCTGCAGCGATTTGCCGCAGCAAGAAAAGCCGTAAAACTGGGGCGAAAAGCAAAACGTCTTGCTTAGCGACAGAAATGTGGCCGTTAAGTCGAGGACCGTCCGTGCAGTCTATTCTCTCCGTGGCCAAAGCGCTTGGATGTTGATCACGTGACCGCTGCGATGGTCGTAAGTGTGAGAAACGGTCACAAGTTACTGGTTGCTAAACGAATGATCCTGGTCCCTTTTTCAGGGTCGTCGTTAACTTAGAACAGTCACTAAAGGGACTGCAGTGACTCGCTGAGCGACTGTGGCAGGACGAGTTGCCAAAACGGGGCAAAACTCACCAAAGGTCTCGCTTAGCGCCAGAATATGTGGGGCTTAATTGCAGTTGTAAGTCGAGGGTTTCCTGCCCAGAGCAGGGGGTCAGACTAGATAACCTCCGAGGTCCCTTCCAACTTTATTATGATGATGATGATGATGATGCACAGACTGGACAGCCATTTGACTGAAATGGTATAGAGTTTCCTGACTGAGCAGGGGGTCAGACTAGATGACCTCCAAGGTCCCTTCCAACTTTGTTGTTGTTATTAGACTGGACAGCCATTTGACTGAAATGGTATAGAGTTTCCTGACTGAGCAGGGGGTCAGACTAGATGACCTCCAAGGTCCCTTCCAACTTTATGATGATGATGATGATGATGAACAGACTGGACAGCCATTTGTCCGAAATGGTATATAGGGTTTTCTGCCTGAGCAGGGCGTCAGACTAGATGACCTCCAAGGTCCCTTCCAACTTTTTTATTGTTGTTGTTATTATTATTATTAGACGGGACAGCCATTTGACTGAAATTGTATAGGGTTTCCTGACTGAGCAGGGGGTTGGACTAGATGACCTCCAAGGTACCTCCCAACACTGTCATTCTGTTCTTCGTTTCTTATTTCTATCCAAGTTAAGAGGCAGTTCCATTCAGGACTGCAAGTAAGTTCCTGACTTACAACGGTTCATTTACTGACCTGGAAGAAAAAGGCGACCGTTTTTCATACTTAACGACCGTTGCAGCGTGCCCCACAGTTGTGCGATCCAAATTCAGACACTTGGCCAACTGACTCGTATTTATGACGGTTGCAGTGTCCCGGGGGGGTGTCACGCGATCCCCTTTTGTGACCTTCCGGCGAGCAAAGTCCAGGCCCGGATTCGCTTAATGACCTCGCAATTTGCTTAACAACCACGGTAACTAACTTCCTTAAGAACGGTAGCAAAAAAAAAAAAAAAAGTGGTGAAAACGGGGCCAAAACCCACCTAACAACTGGGTTAGCCATTTAGCCGCGGAAATTCCGGGCTCAATTGCGGTCGTACGTCGGGGACGTCTCGTGACAGACATTTTCCGGGCCAATTGGGGTCGTAAGTCGAGGACTATATAAAAAAATAATAATCCATCCAGGCTCTCTAACAAAACAAAACACACAAACACACACACATGCCTCTAAAAAGATTTATTTTAGGGTTTAACAGTTTACAACTTTGTGGGAAAAGATTAAGGCCGGAGTAACCAACGAGGAAGGGGTCAGCCTAGATGACCTCTAGGATCCCTTCTAAAGAGAATGCTCCAAATTGATGGGAACCTTGAGAATGGCAGCCTAAGGCAGTCAAACAATCTCTGTTAGGGGATTAAACCTCGCCTTCGGAGGCTGGAAAAAAAAATATCAACGTACGGAGAGTCCTCGACTTATGACGCTTCATTTAGTGACCGTTTGAAGTGACAACAATCGGTTCTTGCAACTTACGACGGTTGCGACATCGTGTGTGTGTGTGCTGAATCGCCCTTTGCAACCTTCCCAACCGGATTCCCATGAGCAAGTTGCTGGAGGAAGCAGGATTCATTTAACGACCCCCGATTCACTTTACGACTGGCCGAAAAAGTCATAAAATGGGGCAAAACTCAACTTAATGCCCCATCTCACTTAGCAAACAAAGTTCTGTTCTTTGCTGTTAGGACAGGGACAGCCACAGCAGCTTGGAGACAGGTGGACTTCAACTCCCAGAATCCTCCCCGAGCCAGGGGGATTCTGGGAGTTGTAGTCCACACATCTGTTCTAGATGCCAAGGTTGAAAAAAAAAAACCCCACTGCATTAGGAAAAAATATTTGAGTTAGTTTGTCCCCTTTTCCCCCTCCAAAATCATTTTAATCGTTTGGCAAATTCTAGATCCGACGTTCCAAGCCTTAAAGTAATTTAAAGATCACATTATATATCAAATTAAAAGTATTTTAAATTTAATTCAAGCTTTATTTCAACCCATTTGGGACTCTTTGCCAGGACGAAGAAAAAAAAAAGATGAATCAATTGATTCCAAACGAAGCGAGAAGGTGCATTTTCACGTGAATCCCCCGTGTCGGGGACCCGGGACCCTTCCCCACGACCCTCCCTTCCTCCTTTTCACACGAGCCCCCCCCCCCCCCAAAAAAACCAACACCATCCCTCGGCCGGATGCCCAACACCAAAGGGAAGCCATCCCTCTTCCACACGGTTGCACGGCGCTGACTCGCGTTCCGGCCGCCTGCTTGCTTACCTGGCCGATTGCACGTGTGAACGCGCCCCATCCGTTTCCGGCTTGCCCTGCTCGTGGGAAAACGGCGTCCGGCTTTTGACCGACTAAAACACTGGGGATTCCTGCTTTGAATTTAGAAGGAAGAGTCAGAATTAGAATTTGCAAAGAGGCGCGGCGGGGGGGGGGGAAGAGTGGGGGTGTCTTGCACACACACACCCCGAAATCCGGATTGGGGTGACTTGGGGGGGCTCTTGGGAAAGGGGAACCCCGAAGTTCCCTGCGAGGCTTGCATTGCAGCCCCCGGGGCCCAAAGACCCCCTCCCCGCCTTGCAAACGGGGTCAAAGCCGGTTGCAAATGGGAGAGTGGGGGTGTCTTGCACCCACACCCCCGAAATCCGGGTTGGGGTGACTTGGGTGGGGGGGCTCTTGGGAAAGGGGAACCCCGAAGTGACCTGCGGGGCGCGCATTGCAGCCCCCGGGGCCCAAAGACCCCCTCCCCGCCTTGCAAACGGGGTCAAAGCCGGTTGCAAATGGGAGAGTGGGGGTGTCTTGCACCCACACCCCCGAAATCCGGGTTGGGGTGACTTGGGTGGGGGGGCTTTTGGGAAAGGGGAACCCCGAAGTGGCCTGCGGGGCGCGCATTGCAGCCCCCGGGGCCCAAAAACCCCTCCCCGCCTTGCAAACGGGGGGTCAAAGCCGGTTGCAAATGGGACCCCCCCGATCTCCGGGGCAAGAAGGGCGGCCCCCCAGGCCCGGCCAGTGCCCCCTTCCGTGCAAAAGGCGGGGAGGGCTACCAAGGAGCCGGCTGGTGAAAGGGGACCCCCTCCGGGCGCCCCCAAAGCGGGTGGGGGGCGCGGAGGGGCCGCCCCGCCCGGCCGCTCCGGCAGCGCGGCTGGCGCCCGCGGGCGCCTTACCTGCTCAAGCTGGCGCGGCAGCAACGGCGGCTGAATGGCTCTGGGTCCCGCCCCCTCCTCCCTCCTCCCCCCCAGGAAGGGGAGGCGCCAACCGGCTGCCCGTCCCTCCTTCAGCCGGCCCCGCCCTGCCCTCCATCTGCTGGAGCCCGCGGGGAGGGGGGGTGTTAGCGCGCCTGCGCATTTCTGCAAGCGCTGGGCACGGGGAGGGGGGCTGCCCAGCTGGGCTTCTGCAAGCGCCCCCCCCCACACACACACTTCCCAAATCTCAGTCTGCGGCTGGAGAGAAGAAGGACAAAGAGAACGAGGAGGAGGAGGAGAAAAAGAAGGAAGGAAGGAGGAGAGGAGGAAGAAGAGAAAGAGGAAGGGAAGGGGAAGGAAGGGGGGAGAGAAGAGAGAAGGGGAAAGGAGGGAAGGAGCAGAAGGAGGAAAGGAACAGGAGGAGGGGAGCAAAGAAGGCAGGAGGAGCGATGGAAGACGAGAAGAAGGAAGGAAGGGGAAAAAGGAAAGAGGAGAAGAGAAGGAGAAAAATGAAGAAGAACAGAGGAGAGAAGAAAGGAAGGAGAAAAGAAGGAAGGACGAGAGGTCAGGAGAAGGAGAGAAGGAAGGAAGGAAGAGGAGAGAGATGAAGGAGGAGAGCAGAGGAGAGGAGAAAAGAGAAGGAAGAGGAGGAGAAGGAAGGAGAAAAGAAGAAAGAAAAACGAAGAGCAGAGGAGAGAAGAAAGGAAGGAGAGAAGACGGAAGGAGACGAGAAGGAAGATCGGGAGGAGGAGAGAAAAGAATGAAGGAGAAGAGAAAAAAGGAAGGAGAAGAGAAGAAAGGAAAGATCAGGAGGAGGAGAGAAAAGAAGGAAGGAGAAGACAAGGAAGTGAAGAAGGAAGAATGGAGAAGAACAGGAGAGGAGAAGAAAGCAGAAAAGAGAAGAAGGAAGGAGAGGAAGAAGTAGAAAAGATGTTAAAAAAGGAAGAGAAGAGGGGAAGAGAGGAAGATCTATATCTATCTCCATATATATGTCTATATCTATCTGTATATATTTATATCCATATATATATATATATATATTTATTTATTTATGTATATATTTATATCCATATATATGTCTATATATATATATATATTATCTACCTAGATAGATAGATAGATATATCCATATATATGTCTATATCTATTCATATGTCTATATATCTATATCTATCTATATCTATATCCATATATATGTCTATATCTATATCTCCTGTCTGTATATCATCTATCTATCCATATATATGTCTATATCTCTATCTTCTGTGTCTATCTATCTATATCTAATCTATATCTATATCTATCTATCTATCTATCTCTATATAGCTATCATCTATATCTATCTATATCCAAATATATGCCTATATCTATCTATATATGTGTCTGTCTATCTATCTAATCTATCTATCTAGCTAGCTATCTATCTATATCTAGCTATCTATCATCTATATCTATCTATATCCATATATATGTCTATATCCATGTATGTGTCTGTCTGTCTGTCTGTCTGTCTGTCTATCTATCTATCTATCTATCTATCTATCTATCTATCTATATCTCTATATCTCTATCTATCTATCTTTATATCTATATCCATATATATCTCTATCTATCTATCTATCTATCTATCTATCTATCTATCTATCTATCTATCTATCTATCTATCATCTATTTCTATATATATCCATATATACATCTATAGATCCATATAAATTTAAATTCTTTAAAAAAATTAATTTTTTTAAAAAGGCAGGTGAAACTGAGATAAGAAATTAAAATCAAATTGCAAGACTCTTGGAAAGGGGACAGGTCTCTTTGGAAGGGCCTGCTCTAAAAGAAGTGGATTACTTCAATGTCAACCACTCATTCACTGTCAGAGCCAGCTCAATTAATCCAGCAATCTGTTTTGGAGCTGCAGGCAGAGAGTTTCATAATACAAGGCATCAGTTAATCCTACTTTGCCTGATAAGAGGTTTAAAGCGAAGAAAGATGTATGCATTTTGTTCTTGATCCCTTTAGGACTGTGCTTCTCAACCTTGGATATTTGAATCCAGAAGGGTGGACTTCAACTCCCAGAATTCCCCAGCCAGCATGAGAAACACACACACACACACAGAGGGAGAGAGAGAGACAGACAGACAGACAGACACACACACACACACATAGACAGAAAAACACTCTCTCTCTCTCTCTCTCTCTCTCCACCCGGCCCTCGTTTCAACTGGCTCTGGTTCCGGGCCGGAAGCATTTCGAAACGGACATTCCCAATTTCAAAGATGGCCGCTGCCGGATCAGCAACGGCCTCGCTTTGCAAGACGCCGAAAGGGCGGGCGCCCGCAGTTTCTTAAAAAGAGCCTGCGGCCATTTTGAGTAAGGGCAAAACACACTTCCCCCCTCTTTTTTTATTTTTTTCCCTTGTGAAGGATGCTTAAGGGAAATTAAGTCTCTTTATTTTCTCACAACCGTTTTGCGGGTTTGGGAATGCGGTTGCCAGGACTAACAGAACACCTGCAAAAAAAAAAAAAAAAAAATGGGGGGGCGTGCAAAATCGAAAGAGTTCTGCCCAGGCCAAGGGGGTTAGACTAGAAGACCTCTAAGGTCCCTTCTGTTTCTATCTCTATTCAGTTTTGTGAAAGGAATTGTGGGCTAGAAAGTTTCTGCTCAAGGAGGAACTAGATCTGTTGGGGAAATTGAAGTCCACTGTCCTGGATGGGGAATTCTGGGAGTTGAAATCCAGGCATGCTTGCTGGGGAATTCTGGGAATTGAAGTCCAACACATGCTGAATGGGGAATTCTGGGAGTTGAAGTCCATACATGTTGGCTGGGGAATGCTGGGAGCCGAAGTCCATGCATGCTGACTGGGGGATTCTGGGAGTTGAAGTCCTCCCCTCTTAAAGCATGGCTGGCTGAGGAATTCTGGGAGTTGAAGTCCAGGCATGATAGATGTAGGATTTGGAAAGCTAAACGCTTATGCATGCTTATGGGGGAATTCTGGGAGTTGAGATTCAGGCATGCTAGCTAGTCAAAGTCCAGGCATGTTGGTGGGAAATTCTGGGAGTCAAACTTCACATATGCTGGAGGGGGAATTCTGGGAGTCAAAGTCCCAAAAAAACCTAATGCATGCGTGTCTGGGGAATTCTGGGAACTGAATTGAAGCCCACGGCTCTTGAAAGTCGCCCAGATCGAAAGACACTGATATGACGCTAAAATATGAGCCAGTCTTTTCACACTAGGGACTAGCGCAGTGGTTCTCAACCTGTGGGTCAGGACCCCATTTGGGGTCGAACGACCATTTCACGGGAGTCGCCAAACAATGCAGTCTGCCATTTTTTCCCCCCTTTTCCTTAGCTGTGCTACTCCCTTTTATTCTATTGGCTTTTGAAAGCCAATCGAAGAGACTCTCTTGAATAGACTCTAATTCTATTGGCTTTCAAAAGCCAATAGGAATGGTCCAGGCTGTCTCTGCCCTGCTGAGCCCGCCAAAAGTCCCATTCTGCAAACGGTGCTGCACCAGTTGAGTAGTCCTCGACTTACGACCGGTTGAGTAGTCCTCGACTTATGACCGGTTGGGAGTCGCGGCATTAAAAAGGTTGAGAACCTCTGGACTAGTGTTTTAAGAAAGCTGGTGTGCCTTCTAACATCCAAACCCTATAAAAGAGGCAAACCCTTTGATAAGCTTTCTTAAAATGCGGCTGCTCTCGAAACTTTAGACTTTTAAGAAAATGTGTGAAGAGGAGTCGGAAAAGCGGCTACACGTGTTCTTCTGCCGTATGGTTCCCCCCCCCCCTCTTTCTTCCTCCAACTTCGGTAAACTTTTTCAACCAAGTCGAAGTAATTACATAGAGATGCCTCCAGAGGGCAGCACATGCTTCCCGAGGACGGGCGCCTCTGCAGAGAGAGACGTCAATCAAAGTGAAGAGCACTTCAAGATGCCTTCCAACTCTTATTATTCTGCTAGAGTCTCCTGCTTGAGCAGGGGGTTGGACTAGATGACCTCCAGGGTCCCTCCCAACTCTTATTATTCTGTAAGGGTCTCCTGCTTAAGCAGGGGGTGGACTAGATGACCTTCAAAGTGCCTTCCAGCTCTGTTATTCTGTAAGGGTCTCCTGCTTGAGCAGAGAGTTGGACTAGAAGATCTCCAGGGTCCCTTCCAACTCTTATTATTCTGCTAGAGTCTCCTGCTTGAGCAGGGGGTTGGACTAGATGACCTCCAGGGTCCCTCCCAACTCTTATTATTCTGTAAGGGTCTCCTGCTTAAGCAGGGGGTGGACTAGATGACCTTCAAAGTGCCTTCCAGCTCTGTTACTCTGTAAGGGTCTCCTGCTTGAGCAGAGAGTTGGACTAGAAGACCTCCAGGGTCCCTTCCAACTCTTATTATTCTGCAAGAGTCTCCTGCTTAAGCAGGGGGTGGACTAGATGACCTCCAAAGTGACTTCCAGCTCTGTTATTCTGTCAGGGTCTCCTGCTTGAGCAAGGGGCTGGACTAGATGACCTCCAAGGTCCCTTCCAGCTCTTATTATTCTGTAAGGGTCTCCTGCTTGAGCAGGGGGCTGGACTAGATGACCTCCAGGGTCCCTTCCAGTTCTCTCATTCTGTTGAGGAGAGAAGGAAGAAATGCGGAGCTTACAGCCTGAACCTTTAAGTTCTGGAGACTTCAGTGACCCAGAATGCCATATGTTGACTGGGGAATTCTGGGTGACAAAGTCCAGTCAGCTCACTGTTGCCACGGTTACGAAACCCCGTTCTTTACCCATGGGAGGGGTTGCGCTGTGGGGTGGAGATGGGGCGGGCGCAAAGGAACAAATCACACCATCGATGTGGTGAGGCGGGTGTGTAGATGACATTGTGGGGTCCCCGGTGCGCTACCTGAGCTTGCTGGCTTCCTTGCAGACGTCGTGTTCCCGATGATGTTACCTAGCAGGGTCATGAAACGTCTGCAAGAAACTAACGGAACGCATAGAGGACTAA